TTGGGCTGGTGGTCGCCCAATAAGTTGGCTATCTCTCAATGGAATAACGCCATTTCCCTGGCTCTGATACCAAGGGCAGCGTAGCATGGTATGCGACATCCTTCGTGAAATCATAACAGCTTCTCCTTTAGAAAAACCGGACTAGTCCTCTCCCGTAATATCCTTTAGAGTGCCTTATAAGCTCCGAAAAATCTAATGTGAAGGTGGTATCGGCATGCGGTACTGCTATGCTCTTCACCATTCTATGCCCGCGACGAACGTTGTTCAACCGAGCCTGTTATTCGAAATAGCTCTGTCAAGCGCCAATCCGAGAAGGCGATGTTTCCAGGTACAACTCAAAATTCCGACGAAACTGTTAAAGGACGGTTCGCGATGACCTATGAAAATGCAATAGGTTACCGGGAGTGTAGCGCGGTCCACCAACAACCCTGTGCCAGTTTCGCGGCGGAAAGTGGTACGGTAAAGGAGTTAAGGCGCAAAGTTGCTTCAGTGGTACATTCCTTTTTCCAATGACTCCAAAGTTTACCTTCCAGCCAAGAGTAATGCTACCGGGCAAGAAGCATGAAATGGATGCATACAATGTCTCTTGTAGAGTCACAGAGTTCATTTCTGTGAATTAGCCGACGGGAAGCGGGTGTGTGGCGATTCTATCGTCGATGATAAGTAGGTCGCCGCGCTGGTGGGCGCCGCGTACGAGTCCTGCTGCGTCGTGCTCGTTGAAATTGTTAAAATGATCATCAAGCCATATTGTTTATGTTAATCCTGTACTGCTTGTCCCATTTTCCTATGATGATCAATGATTGTTTTTTCCGCATTCAAAAGTAAAGGGGTGTAAGACTGGTCCCACGTTATTTGTTCAAAATTACTGATCCAATTTTGGGCTTTTCGGAACTTGTGAATACGCGGTCTTCGAGACTCATTTGTATGTCGGTAATGCAACTCCGGAATTGTCGCACCGCGCCGCCGCGCGAGACGCCGCGACGCGATGTGCGCGACGTGACCTGACTTGCCGACGATAGAATCGCCCGGGTCCCACGGGAAGCGTCCCAGCGCGCGGTCTTTTACCTCTTCAGTTGTTTGAGGCCAGAGGAGGCCTTACGAATACGTTTCCAACGTTCCTTATGGCACTTCATAAACGGTTCGAATTTACTTCCACATTTAGCGAATTTACTTCCACATTTCTTTAACATCACCTTGGCTTTTTATCGCGGACCGTGCCTTTAACTTTGGCTTGATCCGCGGTACTGTGTGTACAAAAGTGGCACCGTGCAGATCTCACCTAGTTATTTTTAATTCAAAGGTCAGCATATGTACAAAGTAAATTCAGTTCAAGCAGTCAGTAGTTTCACCACTGAAACGGTTGGCAAGATTGAATTGTTCCAATATCGAACGTTTTTTGTGGATTTGCTCCCTTGGTTATGTAATTGTCGGGAATGGTGATGCCAAATTTACGGTAGCATATCTGAAATATTGATTTCATAAGACAACCTCAAAAGGTCTCACTAAAAACAAACTTACTCCACGGTAATTGCATTTGTGATAAACGTTCACTTTCGGGTCGATAGTGGAGATTTCTCTTTTCGATCCGGCTAGTCGGAATTCGCCGTTCGAGTTTGTTTTGCCTTGGTCCATCTTCACGTCGAAGGCTGGATAAACATAGCAGTAACCATTGACATCCACAAATCACTTGGTCAACTAGATAAGAAGATTTGTAACTTACTGAGTTCTTTTTCGTATAGCTTCACCTTGATATCACTGGCCGGTTTCCCGTCACAAAGAAGCCGCCCTTTAACGGCCACAGATTGGAGTGTTCCGATCCCAGAAGGGCTGAGGACGTGGCCACCAGGCTCAATAGTAAAAGAAGAAGTTGCATCTGAAAAGGACAAATATTATTCAGAGGACGAAGTCATTGCATAGCCCGCAAGCCAAGGAAATTGCATCGAACGGAAACAAAGAACAGACGTTTTTGCTGCAGAAGGTGGGGCGTGTGGAAGAGCTGAGCTTGGCCTGGTGCCAGCCTATTCTCCAGCAATTGCTGAAGCGGGCGAGCGCCAACAGTAGGTAGAGAACGGGATATCTGCGCCAGACTCTGCCCCCCGCCCCCTCCACCACTGAAACGCTCTACGAAAACGAGACATTTGCAGCATCATCGAACATCATCAGGTTCTAAATTATAAAGTTGGTAGAGGACGGAAAAGGAGCTTTTCAATTCGATAGTGAAAAAAGGATAAAGGACAACTTTTCTGGCGTTAGTTGATTCCTCTTCTTGGGATGCGCCGCGCGTTCCATCTTCATTCAGAATCGATGTAGCATATTGATGCGACTGCCAGATGCAAACAGCCGACGTAGGTATAGTTTAGTGTTCTCATCCTCCTGAATGAAGTTTTCTCCGACTAACCGACCCCGGGAGGGGCGGAAGGCTCGCTTCACCTCCAAGGAAGTCTCTGATGGTTCGCCTACTAAGGGGCACCACCTGTTTCGACAACTTCTTCACCTCGGAATCGATAATATTAGAATGTATTATAGAAAAATATCGAAGTTAGTTGCTAAGGTATGAGTAGTCAGAGCTGATATTGAAAACAAATGTTCGGAAAAGAGGGAAGGGGAGGATTTTATACCATTTAGGGTGACGAGTAAGACATTCTCCAGAGATGCCTCAGTTTAATTGAATTCTTAATTGATTTTCGGAAAAGGTTCTATGATTGGAGATGGGAAAAGAAGCCAACCAGCAAGAGCAAAGTCCCGAATGGCCCGGTAATGTGACTGTGATTCCGGCCATCCCGCTCTTTATATTGTGTCAACATGATAAATTCCCTCCCGTCTAAACAGTTTTCAATCTCCCACCTTTTACCGACCAGAAATGCGAATTCCCAAGGAAATCTGGACGATACAAGCCACACTTCAAGGAAATGGGAGGAAGCGGGAGTAGCTCTGAACCTTGGTAGCTTGATAATAGGGAAAATGATAAAAAAAAGTTACTGGCGTGTTAAGTCCTTCTTTCAGGGAGGCGCCGCACATTCCTTTTCCATTCATGATCGCGGTACATTTTGACTTCGTCGACTTGTACGTGAACGTGAGCAGCGACTGATCGTCCCTGCTGATATGGAAAGCCTGGTACGCCGGCGAAAAACCACTGAGTGGTATGGTCACCGGATCATAGCGCACTTGCCAGAACGTGTTCACTTCGGAATCTGACAGTATGAGGGGTTAGATGTCGAAAGAGGTGAATTACTTGCTAACATACACCGAGAACAAATGTAGACAAAAGAGGAAGGCAGGATTTTATACCATCCAGGGTATAGTGAATAAGACGTTCCAGTTCTCCAGAAATGACTCAATCATTCAATCATACAGTTTCACTGATTTTTTATCTGAATGAGTAGTAACAATGTGAATGTCCAGAAATTCATCAAAAAAAAAGTCGGCACTACTCAGCTACATATTACTAAACCAGTTTTGCGAAAACGGCCCGGATTGATCGACTTTTTTCTACGGGGCGGATTTGGCTGAAATTTGGTTTAAGGGGTAATTCGACCTCGTGAACACGAATATCACATCCACTTGGCCTGAAAGTGCCTGGCGCCCGCGCCACAGGCGCCAGTGATTTAGGGCATTTTGGCGCCGGCGCCTGTGGCGCGGGCGCCGAGCTTTCAGGCCGAGCGGATGTGATATTCGTGTTCAGGAGGTCGAACTACCCCTGGGCACAAGTTTTCAGCGGATTTGGTGATCTAGGGTACTTTGGCGCCGGCGCCTGTGGCGCGGGCGCCAGGCAGTTTCGGGAGGAGCGGATGTGATATTCGTGTTCAGGAGGTCGAATTACCCCTAGAACCCAACTTTCAGCCAAATCTGCCCCGTAGAAAAAAGTCGATCAAGATCCGGCCCGTTTTCGGAAAATTGGGGTAGTAATTGTTGAACAATGTCTAGTCTAGTGGAAAGTCAAAAGACACCAGAAAACTAGCGACTTCTCATTAACGATCAAAGTACTACCTTGCTCAGAAGAGAACACAATGGTACGGAAAATATTAGAGGCCTTGGAAATAAAACGGCTACTACCCGAAATAAACAACAGGGAGGAACTACGTGATATTATGCAAGTCACCACGGGTTCGTGACACATGTATCCCACTAATAAAAGGAACGGTCTGCGATGCTCATGAAAATGCAAGAGGTTATGTGGGAAGGTAGTGCGGTCCGGAGTGGACAACCCTGTGCCAGTTTCGCGGCGGAAAGTTGTACGGTAAAGGAATTAAGGCGCAAAGTTGCTTCAGTGGTACATCCCTTTTTTCCAGTGACTCCGCCTCTAAAGTTTACCTTCCAGAAAAAAATAATGCTGTACGAGCCTTAGCGGCTCCGACTGGGATCAGCGCGATTCGGATGAATCATGCCAAGGATCGATGATGACGTGAACCGTTCAGGAATGCCCGACGAGCAGATCTGGAGGAGGAGCCTCACAGGAGTCATTCTGGACCGTACCCGTCACCCTGCCAGGCCTCGGGCCTGATGCCACGCTTCCAGTCGACCGAAGTCCTGCGGCCACAAGGGCCATTTCTCCGATACCGCGGTATTCTTGTTGTATAATAAATATTATATGAATATTCGGTATTCACACAACAACGGAGAATCTTAGTATGCTTTACAGTAACCGGGAAAAAAGCATGAAGTGGATGCATACAATGTTTTTTGTAGAGTCATAGGGCTCATTTCTGGGAATCAGCCGACGGGAATCGTCCCAGCGCGCGGTCTTTTACCTCTACAGTTGTTTGAGGCTAGAGGAGGCCTGACGAATGCGTTTCCAACGTTCCCTTTGGCATTTTCTCTTCATAGACGGTTCACTTGGCGAATTTACTTCCACATTTCTTCAACATCACCTTGGCTTTTTATCGCGGACCGTGCCTTTAACTTTGGCTTGATCCGCGGTTACTGTGTGTACAAAAGTGGCACCAGAGCAAATCTCACCTAGTTATTTTTAATTCAAAGGTCAGCATATGTACAAAGTAAATTCAGTTCAAGCAGTCAGTAGTTTCACCACTGAAACGGTTGGCAAGATTAATTGTTCCAATATCGAACGTTTTTTGTGGATTTGCTCCCTTGGTTATGTAATTGTCGGGAATGGTGATGCCAAATTTACGGTAGCATATCTGAAATATTGATTTCATAAGACAACCTCAAAAGGTCTCACTAAAAACAAACTTACTCCACGGTAATTGCATTTGTGATAAACGTTCACTTTCGGGTCGATAGTGGAGATTTCTCTTTTCGATCCGGCTAGTCGGAATTCGCCGTTCGAATTTGTTGTGCCTTGGTCCATCTTCACGTCGAAGGCTGGATGAACATAGCAGTAACCATTGACATCCACAAATCACTTGGTCAACTAGATGAGATAATTTGCAACTTACTGAGTTCTTTTTCGTATAGCTTCACCTTGATATCACTGGCCGGTTTCCCTTCACAAAGAAGCCGCCCTTTAACGGCCACAGATTGGGTTTGTCCGAATCCCAGAAGGGCTGAGGACGTGGCCACCAGGCTCAATAGTAAAAGAAGAAGTTGCATCTGAAAAGGACAAATATTATTCAGAGGACGAAGTCATTGCATAGCCCGCAAGCCAAGGAAATTGCATCGAACGGAAACAAAGAACAGAGGTTTTTGCTGCAGAAGGTGGGGCGTGTGGAAGAGCTGAGCTTGGCCTGGTGCCAGCCTATTCTCCAGCAATTGCTGAAGCGGGCGAGCGCCAACAGTAGGTAGAGAACGGGATATCTGCGCCAGACTCTGCCCCCTCCACCACTGATACGCGCTACGAAAACGACTATAGACATTTGCAGCACCATACAAAAAATCAGGATCTAAATTATAAAACTGGCAATGGTAGAGGGCGGAAAAGAAGCTTTTCAACTCGATAGTGAAAAAAGGAAAAACGACAACGTTTCTGGGATTAGTTGATTCCTCTTCTTGGGATGAGCCGCGCGTTCCATCTTCATTCTGAACAGCTGTAGCATTTTAACGCGATTGCACGCCAGATGCAAACAGCCAGCGTACAGCCTAGTGCTCTCATCGTGCCGGGCGAGTGCACCGACTAACCGACCCCGGAGAGGTGGAAGGCTTGCTTTACCAGAATTCTCTAATCATACGATTACCAAGCGGCACCATCTGCCTCCACAACTTTTTCACCTCGGAATCCGATAGTATGAGAGAGGTATTATAGAAAAATGTCGAGGTTACTCGCTAATCTATGTGTCGTCAGATGGGACATCGATAAAAATGTTAAGAAAATAGGGAAGGGGAGGATTTTATACCATTATGCATGATGACTAAGACACTCTCGATACCACATAGATGACTCATTCCTGACTGTCTAATTGAATTGAATTGAATTTCGGAAAAGGTCCTGTGATTGGGATGCAAAAAGAAGGAAAGGAACTAGTAAGAGCAAAGTCCTGAATGACACGACAATGTGACTGTGATCCCAGCACGCCCCGAGCTTTGTATCCTGTGCAAAAGTCAACATGAAAAATTCAGTCTTGTCAAAATTATCCACAATCTCTTACCTTTCACCGACCTCGAATGCGAATTCTCAGGGGAAGCTAGACAATACAAGCCACATTTCGAGGGAGTGGGGAGGGAGTAACTCTTAACATTGTTAGCTTGATAATTTGGGAAAATGATAAAAGACAAAGTTCCTGGTGTGTTCAGTCCTTCCTTCAAGGGTGCACATTTCTTTTCAATTCATGATCGCAGTACATTTTGGTTGCTCGATGGAACCAGTCGGCGTGCAAATTTTTTTGTAATGCCAGACGGATGGAGATGAACTTTTATCCACTTGTACGTGAGCGTGAGCAGAACTGACCGACCTTTGCGATATGGAAGGCGAAAAACTACTGAGTGGTATGGTCACCAGATCATAGCGCACTTGCCAGAACTCCGTGTTCACTTCGGAATCTGACAGTATGAGGAGGTAAGAGATCGAAGAGGTGAAGTTAATACTTGCTAACATGTACCACATGACATGAATGTAGAGAAAAGGGGGGAAGGGCATGCTTTTATACCATCCAAAATGGTTAATAAGACGTCCAGTTCTCCAGAAATGACTCTTTCAGACTATTTCACTGTTTGTTTTATCCGAATGAGTAGCAATGTGAAGCTCCAGAAATTTTTTTTCAAAAAACTCGAAAGACACCAGAAAACCAGTGACTTCTCATCATCCATCAAAGTACAGTCGTCATCCGGGCACTTGATTAGGGCGGCAAGGGTCGCGACGCGGCTGCGGCGCGTCACGACCGCGGCGATCAGCTGTTTCCAGCCTAATTTGGCCATTTTCTAGCCTAATTTTCACTGTATTTCCTAGGTTTGTAAAAGGTAGTTGTTTTATTGTCTTTATGATGACGTGAAGTCTTTTTTTGGTTTTTGTAATAAAATGTTTTTGCGATTTTTTCTCAAGTATTTGCTAGATTGTCTGCCTGACTGTTTAATTGTGCGCAGAATAGAGGAGTCTCAATCATAATTCACCTTGTGAAGACAAGGAACAACTAATCTCGAGAAAAGCAGCCATAACAGTGTAAATTAGGGAGAAAATGGCTAAAATAGGCTGGAAACAGCTGATCGCCGCGCTCGTGACACGTGCGCGCCGCGTCGCGACCCTTGCCGCTCCTAATCAAGTCCCTGGATGACAACTGTACTACACCGCTCAGTAGAGAACACAAGGAAAATATTGGAGGCCTTGGAAATAAAACGGCTACTACCCGAAATAAACAATAGGGAGGAACTACGTGACATTATGCAAGTCATCATGTGATCGTTTCACAATGTATTCTACTATTTAACGGTACATGCTACGGTGAGGTTGGCTATTTCGGGGCAACAGGGTAAGTGGCTGAGTGGGGGAGGAGTCTATGCGGGTTGTATCTTTGTAGAAGGTGCATATCCAACTGAAAACAAGCTAAATATTTCAAGAATTGACGAAGGGGCTAGCACCGAAATACTGAAAGATAAGATATATTTTTGAAAACTTTTAGGATCTTTGGTGTCTTTCGAGTTTTTTTGAAGCAGATTTTTGGAGTTTCACATTGTACTATACAGTCAAATAGGAAATGAGACTTCGAGACAGCACAATACTCCATTGTTTCTGGTAATTGATCTTCGGGACTCCAAAGTGGAGATGGGAAATGAAGAGGAACCAGTAAGAGCAAAGTCCTGAATGACACGCTGATATGACTGTAATTCCGGCACACCCTGCTCTTTACATTGTGTCCAAAAAGTTCTGCCCCATCAAAATTGTTTACAGCGTCTTGCCGTTTAGCGACCGGAAACGTTTCTCATTCAATGTGTCAGATTATAGACGGTCGGCAGCTAAAAACGGGATGAGTCAGCCCGTCAGCTCTTCTTCCCAGAGTCGTAATTGTTAAAACGTACTGTGTACACGATGAGGTGTGAGTGCACAATACTCAATCAAAGGTTCCGATTTTTCCTAACAATCCACCCCTTGTTGGACTGAGACTCGACCACAACTGCTTCAAAATGAGAATGTCTCTCCAGAAACATAGCCACCGCCACGCTAGTTGAAGTACGCAGCGACGCCCATCATTACTCATAAATTTCGAGGGTACAATATTACTCAAGCGAAAGTCCAGTTACTAGAACTGATATCACTGCGCCGATGTTTGGCACTATGTCATTGATAGAACACTGGAAGCCATGATTCACCATCAAATTCATCAGCGTTCATATTACAGGGGGAGGGCCAATAAAACAAGACACTTCGGTCAAGTCACATATCAGTAAAGTTTACGCAGCCCAGACAGAGGACGTGGATACGAGTACCAGGGCGGAAGATACCCAAGATGTTCCTCGATAAGCAGGAGCAGGCTCTCGCCCATCACCTTCATGTACACCAAAATATGAAGTCATCTCCAATCGCAGCCTGACTGGAGAAGGCCTATGGAACACGTCACCTCCAAACAGCTGCGAAATTTCTTGCATGGAGTCGCTCATGGATAGAGCTACCTGGAGACCGGTCGCCAGGGCGCGGATTGTGGTATGGACCGGAGGTTCCTGGAATGAGAACACCTATATTTTCTTCGTGGACCCCGGACTGAAAGTGAACGCTGACGGTTACATCGATCAACTCGATGAGAATATCCTGCCTTCATGTCTTCGCCTGTACCTTATTGGGAACTTCGTACTGCTGCAGGATTGGATGCCAGCACATGGACTCTCGCCTACTTGGAATCGAAGGGCGTTGAGAACTCTAAAGGCGGTTGGCACGATAAATTCCCCAAGACGAGTAGGAATAATACGCCTGGCAGGACGGAATTGCGCGACCCTGAGCAGGCGCTGCATAGCGCCTTTTCCAGGAAAGGTGCCCTTATAAAGGCCTTATTAAGCCACAATATACCGACCCGAGCGCCCGCCACGCCCGCCCGCCCACAAATGGTTCCTGACGCTCGTATTGATTCATTTGCTAAGCAAATTATGAAGCGAAGGGATTGGTATGAAGCGGCCGTGATGCTGCATGGATATATGAGTACACATATGCAGCCGTACCTTCGGTAGCGGTTATTGGCAAGATGCCTACGGGAAACTCGTCCAAGTCATTAGAACGGAGGCTTTTTCTTCGCAGGATTTTGACCGTTTCACTCCGTTCTTTCGCCATTTCCCCACTATATAGCGCCCTACTAGCATTTTAGGCCGTTTACCAAATCATCGTGCTTTTAAGACTACCTTTAAGAGGACTGAATATCCAAGTGTGTCGTGACCTAGACTTGGTATTGCGGGTTTGAAAGGAGCTCAACAGGGTGGTCTACAGTGCGGAGAAACCAACGACAGCACAGAACTCTGGCACCGAATCACGGTCGCGTGGCAGAGTCTCTCGATGGCGCTCATCCAGAAGGCTGTGGCGGAATATCATGATAGTATACAATATACTGCTGAATACGGTGGTGGAAATGTCCAATCAGAATTTGATAAAGTGTAACTTATAGCGCCTCGAATGTCGAGGAAGAAAACTGTATTTTTTTCATCACTCCCCTGTATGCTACATGAGTCCTGTAGCCGGTGGGAAAGAATCATAGATGTTTTTTCTGCCTTCATCAATATTAATAGCTCTCCTTAAATATCCGTAAGAATTGTATTCCACAACGACTACGATCGTTGACAGCTAAAAGGTGGAAATCATTGTGTTTGTTCTACACGTGACTGTGTCAATAAATACAGTGATCAGTGAGTGCAAAAGAGCGAGACCAAAATAATATTTGTGTTGCACCGAAAGTTTCGAAGAACATCAGCTTTTGTTCCCCACATTTCAATGGACAAAGGTCGCGGACCATGCAACAAAGCTTGCAGATCGAGCCAAGACAGAAAAAGTCAACGTACGAGAAGGTTCATTCGTTTCAGTCGTCAAGAACTTGGCACATTTATCAGCAAGAGAATGGACATGTAGATTTTGAATGATGAATTGAACAAATGAATGCGCAGAGCTGCAAAAGGTAAAGCATGCCTTAAAAGACTCTTTTCAGTCCTAGTGGCCCAGTCTTCAATTCAGAACGCTTGTACTCCAGGAT